ATGAGAATAGCACCCTAAAAATGTAAATTTACAAACAACCCCTTAAAAATTTGAAAACTGCAAGGATACACTTTAAATTAAAAAATTACAAAATTTTTTAAAAAAATACAAAAAAAAAACATAAAAATTTTAAAATTACAAATGACATATGAAATTAAAAAAATTAGTTTAAGTTCGAAGGTTACGACCAACTTCTTGAAAAAAAATCCTTAAATTGTAAACAAATTTAAAAAATATAAACCTTAGTTATTTGAGGTTTTCCGCCACAAATTACTAGGGTTAAGTGACAAAATGTAAAACTTATTTGGATTTTTGTCAAAATTTATTGGCGGATATTTTGGTCATTTGACTAAATGAATTAACAATGTCAATTTTAAGGAATTTCTACCAAAAGTTATTGGGATTTAATAAAAGTTTCAAAGCTACCGGGGATTTTAGTTCTAAACACTAAAATTATTGTGGTTTAGTAAAATTTACGCATATTTTAATTTTGGATTTTTCTGATAATTAACTCTCAAATTGCAGGTATTTTTAAATTTGTATCCCAAATTATTTTATTCCTCACCTTTTTCCCTCACCTTAACTTAAGTCAAGAAAAGAAAAGCAGAGTCACCTTTGCGAGCACAGTCATACCACTTGTAAATTAATATAAGTGAATAATATAAGATAATTTAACTCGGTTCTAGTCAAAGCACAGAAACGTGTATCTTCCTACATTAATTTGTCCATGCATGAACAGCTTAGTTCTTCATGTAGCCCAATTATGCTTAAATGGGCCGCCCCTCCTTCAGAGAAAGATCATACGGCCCATTCTTTTCGGATCACAATCACACGCGTTGATAGTAGGGCTGTAACTTGAAAACCGATAACCGAAAAAATAGCCACACCAAAGCCGAACCTTAACCGAAAAAACCGAGGAAAGAAAAAAAACCACACCAAACCGCAAAAAAATAACCGAAAACCGAAAGGTTTGGTGTGGTTTTGGTTTCGGATGTCTGGAAACCGAAACCGAACCGAAAAACCGATTATATATATTGTAAGAAAATTATATTATTTATAGATATATATTATTAATATACATAAAATTTTATATAGAAACTTCAAACTTGGGCTTAAATGAAGCCAAAAAAAAAGGATGGTCTTGGTCTGCGTTCCAACATTATTACATAGTCTACATTAGACTTTAATTATATTTCTAGGGCTTCTGAGAATCTGAGTTCTCGTCCATCACCCTCAAAGTCCCAAACCCAACGAGCTTTTGGTCCTTCGCGCTCCGTCTCGTCCCCTCTCGTCCATCGCCCTCAAATCTAGGGTTCTCCCGTCCATCAGCCTCAAATCTTGGGTTCTCTCGTCACCGGCGAAGAAATCCCTTCTGTCACGTGGTACTGTAGCTTTTCCTTTCCCCAAATGTTGGTCATGGAGGAGCTTGCTGCTGAACTTGAAGTGCTGATCTATCATCTACATGTTTCTGCTATTCTAGTTTTTCATCGCTTTTTTTTTCTTTTCGAAAACTGTTATGTGGCATTGTGGGCTGCCCTTTTTCATTTTTTTTTCTTTTCTTTTCTTTTCGGAAACGGTTATGTAATATGAGACATTTCTACTTTCTACTTTTCTAGACTTATTTTCTTTATAGAATAACCGAAAAAAACCGATATAAACCAGAGAAAAACTAAACCGAACTAAACCGAACACAATTGGTTTATGAAAAAATAAGTGAAAAACCAAACCGAACTGAACCGAAAAAATAGATCGGTTTGGTGTTCGGTGTCACCTATTAACCGCACCATTCAAACCGATTAACAGCCCTAGTTGATAGTACGTCCTTAAACACCGGCAGAAACGGAAACCGGTGAGCTCTTTAGGTTGGGGCGTAAAAGAATCTTTATCGGGTATATAATTGCAGATATCTGAATTATCTGGATTCTTATCCATATATGTTGATTATACAGTTGTAGTTATTTTAATCCTTAGACTAATATGCTCAAGATTAATTTTGACGATAAAGAGACTCAATCTAAGCATTTCAAAGATAACAGACATATTAATAGAATCTCTCCTATCATGTGAACTATAATTTTTTTCCACCTAATTTTGTTTTCTCACACCCGCTAGAGAGCCAAAGCCGAGAGAAAGTGACCGCCTTTTAAATATAGCTTCGCTCTCAGCTCGACCTAAGTTTATAATTGACAACAAGCAGTGTATAATTAATTGTCTATTGCTTGACTGTTTTCTGTATTTCTTTCGGATTTTTCTGACCATTTTGGGTATTTTGGAGGGGAAACAAGAAACTCCACTGTGAACGGGGAAACGGCCTTTTTTTTCTTGGCTTGTTTAATTTGACCGTGATGGCGATTATTGATTTTTGATACGTGTAATACGAGGTGGTTCTCTCACGTACCGCATTTTTTGGGGTGCATAAGCGAGAGTCTATGAGTTAGGGTTTACATTGGTGACATGGGTGTTTGGTCTATATATATTAACAGGTGAACTTTAACGTTGGTTTTGCGAATTAATTTCGTTTTCTGTGTTATTATAGTTTTTTGTATAAAAGAAATGTGCCGGCCGCGCTTCATTTACTAGTTCCTGAAAATATTTGGATGATTCTGTTACAGTTTCTCTTTTCTATGTGTATTACTGTAACTTCCGGTGATTACTGTTGTTAAGACTTCAGTATCATTGTTCAGGATTTATCCGACCACGTACACCTAAGTTTGCAATGCGGAGTTATTCACTGTGAAGATTTAGGGCCCTCTGCCTACCTCACTGACATTCACTCTGAGTGAATCACACACAGACAACTCACAAATTCGTATAAATTTACAAGCTAGAAGACCTAACCCTAGTTGCCATATATATTCCTTCTTGCCTCTGATTGAGGTCCTTGATCTGACTTCTCTGACCTTAATCGTTGTGCAGTTTACAAGTCAAAATATAAATTAGGTTAGCCATTTATAACTCATAATTAGAAGTTTCTATATGTTCGATCACTAGACAAACATAAAATGCATGATAACACGAACTGCACTATTTGCGTTTAGTTATTTATATTATGTACCCTTTAAGCAGAAGGCGTATCTACTAAGTGCTGTTTTATATGCTCTACCCCTATTTATTGAGTTTATGTTTTGTTTCGAATTTTGAATTGTCATCTTATCTTTGTGCCTGATTGAGTTCTCTGACAGGATAAACATGGATTCACCTGGGTGTTGAAGAAAATTAAAGAAGACTAGACTAGCCGCCCCCTGTTGAAAATTCAGATCTAAACTTAATTACTTCAGAACGAGGATGACGACGGGACGAGAATTAATTTCCTGCAGAACAGTGATATGTATTAATTAAACACGAGTCTACTTGGATCATGAGTACCCTGCCTTACCTGTGACGCGCGCTAGTAACGAAAATGATATGAATTAATATCTGGGCTCAAAAAAGGATACTGTACATTTTAGTGTGTGGTAGCTTTTTCTTTGCATTCAAATTTATATATTTTCTAAAAACATCTCTTTCGTTTCTACAGATTGGAAAATCTGGAATATTGGCCGTTTGCCCTGGCTTCATTCTGTCACAATTCCTTTCTTTGATAAAGAGGGTGTTTGGGACGGCTCATTAATTTTTTGCTCAAACTAGTTTTTTCATTTCTACCAGTTTGGTAATATACAAAATTAATAAGTTTTTTTTTTCATTTCTACCAGTTTGGTAATATACAAAATTAATAAGTTTTTTTTTATTTCTACCTGTTTGGTAATATACAAAATAAGTTAGCTCATAAGTCACATTTAATTTAAAAAGTTGGTATATCACAGCTTTTGAAAAACTAACTTATAAGCTCACCTAAATAACATAGGTTTGACCAAACAAATTACTATACTACTCAACCAATTTTTATAATACTTATATTCTAAAAATCAAAAGCCATTAAAAGCTAGCATAATTTATAAGCTTCAAAAAATAAGTCTTCCCAAACACCCTCATGATGTCAGTACACGCTGATGGCCCAGAGGTTGGTGTGCCATATCTTAGTGTCAAGCTTCGGGAAGATGTCATCATCTAAACTGACTCGTAAACTGCATGCTCATCTCTCTTGCAAATTTTTCGGAGAGTATGCTCGAACTATGGATTACGACTGCACGTTACAGGATATACGTTCATTGAGATATGTATCAGTTTGCTAACAGGCATTATAGCGTTCGCACCTTTGGCACTCTTCGCCACCCTCTCCACTAAGTACTCTCAACAGACCCTGAAGGTACGTATATGCTCTACTAGTCGATCTTCCTCCTTTTCTTTGGCGTATGAACCTTAGACCAGATTGTGATTTGGCTTGGACCAAACTCAAGGAAAACCTGATCTCATTACAAGGATCGTTCTTTACACGAGGAGTTCATATTACTTGTCCATAAGCAACTTCTTGGGAGAACTTGAGAATATGGATCTCGGATGAGGCATGCGCACTTAGCAGATGGAAATATAGCAAACATAACCACACACATCCACACGCACATGCCCACCAAAAACCTCGAACACCTACCCGATGAAGAATGACAGAGAAGATTATGTTTTTTTTTAAATAGCTAAAAAATACACCAAAGTTCATCATATGAAGCTTCATAGAGCTGAGATTATGAAGTCAGTTTGTGTATGTTGAATATTTTGTTAATTGGTCCTTGGATCATTCTGCAGCTCAATGTTGTTGCCCTTTCCCAATTATATCAAGACTTTCATTGACACGACGACGAGAATAAAATAATAGAGATGAAAATGCAAAGCATGTTTTTTGCTGAAATTAAGCTCCCAATACTTGATATCAACATGAAAACAGTATGTTGTAATCTAACTATAAGGACTCTTCAGCAAAGTTCGAATTAGCTGAAACAGGAGTAACTACAAATAGCTGTATCATGATGTGGAACATTTATATCATCAGTTTTACGATGAAATGATCAATTCCGTAACCTCAATCCACCCTCGAATATTACGAAAATGAATGAAAAACGTTAGGCTTTGAGGAACAACATCTCCATTCACATCAGATGAGACATAATTTCACAGGTACAAGCCAGGTTCAATACATTACCAAGTCATAACAACTTAAAACATCAGACGTACATCTTTTATAAAGAACTAAATATAGTGTGTAAGCATTTCTATTTTGAGTCCCGGAATTGACCTTGGTCATAGAAATGTAACCGAGATTCAGTCATTCATTCAGCAGAAGCAACATTATCATCTAGGTCTATCAATAGAAGCCCCACAAACTCTATACAGGTGATATTTACCCCTCTCAACTATATATAACCTTAATTGCTAAACCCCACTGCTACTAATAGCACAAAATGAGTCAACAGAAGGAACTTGTTTCTTCGATGCACCATCTCCTTCAACCTCTCTAACACATTTTAAATGTATCTCATATCCACATCCAAGACACTGATAAGCCCAACCAAAACCCTGCTCTTCACATTCACAACATATAAAAGGACCACCTCCAGAATTCTCTGATACCAACTTCAGTACATGGCGATGTCCGACGTGATTAAATGAGCTCGGGTAACTTTTTGCTTCTTCGTCCATTTTCTCTTGTAGCAACCTTAATTGAGCTTCGGTGAATGGAAATGCCATCTCCAAGTGCAAATTTATCAGATTTCTCCCTTCTCTCGTAACAGTTTTCCCATCAGGACCAATTATAACTAGAGTTGGAATTCCTTGGATATCAAAATACCGAGATAAAGACTTAGCGAACTCCATATTATAAGGCAAAGCAAGCCATGGCATGTCATTATAACACTGTGAATACCCTTCTTCATTTTTATCCAATGAAACAAACACGATCTCAAACTCTTTGTTCATCTCTTTGAGATTGTTGTATATGGAAACAAGTCTCTTAGTGAATTTTGTGCAAGGAGGGCACCAATGAGCTGAGAAGTACAATCCTACTGTTTTCCCTACCAAACTTGAGATTGGTACCTGCAACTCTTTAGCTCTGATGAGTTTTGTGTCGTGACTTACCAAAGGAAAGTGTAACATTTCCGAAGCTTTGACACATACCTGATCCTCATGGCTCATTACATGGTCTCTACCTTCGACAAGGAGGAGATTCTCTAAAGTTTGAGATGAATGCTTTGCTTTCTCTTCAGCTTCCAATACCGATATCCTTTCAATAGTAAAAGGAAATCCTCTCCATCCATAACGGTATATGAGCTCAACACCATCTGCTCGAATTAGTTTTCCATCGGGATTGAGAATGATTAATGAAGGAATGCCTTCAATTTGGTACTTTTGTGTCAAAGTCCTCTTGCATTGTAAATCACTGAATGGGATTGAAGGCCAAGGCATTGTGCTGTAGAACTTGTCAAAAGATGATTGATCCTCATCTGACGATACAAAAACTACTTCGAATTTAGATCCTCTACCCTTCAGTTGATGGTAAACAGAGGCCAATACTGGAGTGAAGTTCTCACATCTGGAGTACCAGTTTGCTCCAAAGTATAATCCAATTGTGTTTCCCTCAATATCCTTAATATAAACCTGAGAGTTTTGATGCTTGTTTTCATATATTAGAGCATACAAAAAGAGATAAATGGAAAGAGACAAATAGAAGGGATTATTGATATATTTTATCCAAAGAGTCATGGGTAGTTTACTTCATACTTTGTGATTAAAGTCAAAAGCACATATAAGGTAAGTCCCACGAATGATGTTTATATAGAATATTCATCAAAATAAACAACACTATGCTAGGTTTGATTCCTGAATGGGCTTTTTTCAACCCTCTGAACATTTGGGTGTCAATAATATTTTATGCACACAAATTTTTAAAACCTTAAATTAAAGTCATGGAGCTAACCAACAAAAAGGGGGGCAAAAATACATGACTAGAATTAAACAATACCCCAAATCCAGACATAAGAGTAAGAATATTGTTGATGTAAGCAGACAAGCAAAAGAACCCCAAAATATTTGTTTCCAAGGAAAATTCATCAGATCTGCTTTGCAAACTCAAGAACAAGAATATAATAACTCATAGTTTACTATATTATTGAAAATGAATTAACTTAAAATATAAAGATGGTTCAACATAAACAACAATCAAAGGCCACTAAGTAATTAGATTCAATCCTATCATTTCATAATTTGCACATAGAGAAATGCTAAAAATTCATAAATTGACAACAAATTAGAGAAACTGCACAAAAAAGAATTAAGTGCCAAATATACCATGACAGAATCCCAAACAAAGGTCAGTGGCAAGTGCCCATGAATATTTGAGGGAGGGGAATTAATGGGTATGCGGCAAAATTGGAATGAAGACCAGCTGCTGATAGGGGAAATGATTGAAGCTCAAAAGAAAGTGAAGACAAAGAACATTTCCACGTTAAAAAGAAAAAAGAACAAAAAACAGAGGAGATTGAACCTTGTCCCCTGACGGAGTGATGAGAAAATCTCTGTTTTCAGATGACAAAATAGAGAAGAGGCTATCTCCTCCTCCTCCAGTGGCCGTATTAGCTTGAGAATTGGTCATTTCTCTCTCTCTCTCTCTCTCTCTCTCTCTCTCTCCCCCCCACTCTCTTCTCTCTCCGTTCTCTCTCTCTCTCTCTCTCTCTCTGGTTCTAAAGAGTTGTCTTTTGAGGGGCTATAATGGCCAGGGACCACTCTCTCCCCCACTCTCTTCTCTCTCCGTTCTCTCTCTCTCTCTCTCTCTTTCTAAAGAGTTGTCTTTTGAGAGGCTATAATGGCTATAGGGACCAGTTAAGCTTACCTCCGGTGAGAATACATAAGAACTATGTAAAAAGCATTTACTCTCTTATGTGAAAAGTATTTTGGAGGTAATTTTTGGGTGTTTTTACATATAAGCAACTCTTTTCTTTTCCTTTTTTGCCTTTTATTTTGGATTGTGTTAGGATCCAGGTGTACTTCTATTGCCACTACGTACTGGTAAGAAAGCATGAATTATTCTGATATAACATACTGTTTACTGAATTATAGAAAGGGTAAATTTTACTAAACCTCATTAACTTTGAGTATTTTGCACTTAACGCCCCAAGTGCTTTTAAACTCTTACTAAACTCCCAATAACTCTAAGAATACCAAAAACCCTCAAAAAATTTTGATTTTTCATTCACTTAATCCCCAAGGGCCGCTTTATGATATTTCTAATAGTCATTGTTTGTGAGCTCAAAATATGAGCTCATGCTGCTACGGGGTTAAGTGTAAAACAAACTAAATGTTTTAAGGGCCTTCTGGAAGTCCTAAAGTTATTAGGGATTTAATGAGAATTTCGGAGTCTTTGGGTTTATTGCCAAACTTCCAAATTCATGGAGGGTGATGTGAATTTTACCCTTACAGAAACTCTGCTTCTACTTATCATATGTAATCCTTTAGTTATTGTTAACATATGCATTTAAAAAAGGGCTTTAATCTTACACATCTTAAATTTATCTTGAAAATCAGATTGCCCTCACATTTTTTTAGATCGGTATTAGGAGGTTGTTTGTGGGCTTTTTTTTCCTTCTATATTTTTTTGCTCTTAGCTTTTTCATGTCTACCTATTTCTTAAAATACCAAATAAATTAGATTATAAATCGCAAATTTAAAAAGCTGGTATACCGAACTTTAAAAAAACTAGTTTATAAACTCATTTAAATAGGCTAGGTTTGACCAAACTAATTATTATTCTATCCCAATAATTCTTATAGTAGTTTTATCATAAAAGTCAAAAACTACTAAAACTTGTCAGGAATATGTCAATACAATGGACTCCATTCGATAAACAAACATTCATATTGGTCTAATATATATTGTATACACGTTACAAGAAGCTAGAATCAATTTCAAAAGTGAAAAGAACAAGACAACAAGTTGATCACGTTAATTTTTTAAAAAAAATATTAGAAACTGTAATCAATTTTGAGCATATGGTAGTGTCCGTCTCTTTGTAATGAATCTAAAAATAAAAAAAGTAACTTGATTCGGAAGCATAAAGCTTGAGATATTAATATTTTGGCAAGACAGGGTTAAACAATCAGTAATAGGCTGGAAAGGCACTCATCGATGAGCCGTAGCCTCGTCAACGATCCAATGGTGAGTCATTAATGATTGAAGAAGTCACTGCTGATAGAAAAATTACAGAGTATGTTGCATTGATGAGCCCTACCACTCATCAATGAGTGGAGGTCATCGATGACTCATTTCGCTCATTGATGAGTATGAAGTTGTTTCAATTTTTCTGATCAAATCACAACCATTCGTTGCAGTTATTGGTAGGGTTTATTTCCTTCATTTTTCCAATGATTCTCTAACATAATTGATATAGAAAAACACATAGGAAGAGAGAGAAAGAGCCCGGGATTGATTTGTTTTGAAGAGAATCACATCTTTATCTTTCGGAGCTTCTTAGATTATTTCTCATCGCGCTCTTCGTTATCCAATCATCAACCATCAATAACGGTTGCCCTTGGATCTCATCATTGATGTCAGTCTTCCATATATTCACTATAATCTCTTCAGATAATAATTTGAATTGAATGTCAGATCTTTCAATTTGCGCTTATTTGATATTTATTATAGTAAAACAATTTTTTATTATGATCATGAGATTAGAATTTGTTTGACGGTGTACTCAACTCAGAGTTAATTAAGAAGAGAGTTACTAGCAGGAGCTAGGGTACACGCTAGTGATAGGTTATTTTGATGTAGATGATTAGATTAGGGTTAGTCTAGTGAGCGGTCTTGTAAAGGCTACTGGATTGAAATTTGTAATCCAGGTGAACAATGCCATAGTGTGAAAACTCATTCAAGAGAAAAAAAATATAGAACGGAGGATTTTATTTCGAACCATTATAAAATCTCTTGTATTTTTGCTATGGTGTCCTTCTGTTGCTACTTGTTCTCGATATTATTTATATTTCCGTTGCATATCTGTACTTATTTTAGATTATCACAAACAGTAGGTAGGCAACCCTCTAGGCTTGCATCTTAAATCACAACAAAACCTAACATAACTTTAAAACTTCAAAAATAAGCCCTCCAAACACTGTAAATTTTTTATCTTTAGGAGCCAAAAACTCACAAAGCTCGTAGGCTTCTAAATAAAAACACCTTGAACAGCGTCTAATTCTTTTGATAGAGATATATAATATATAGGTTGGTGGGAGAGCAAGAAGTAAATATTCCAAGGTAAATAACGTTGCGTGACTATGCGGAAGCGTGCTCGCACACCGAATGAATTTGTAAGCACGGGAGAAAAGAACCAATCCATATACAAGCACAATTCAATCCAAAATACGACAAATCAAACCAAACACAAAGATATACGTGGTTCGGTAATTTGCCTACATCCACGGGGAGAGGATGGAGAGATTCTACTAAATCAAGGAGAGTACAAAGAGTTACAATCTCACAAAATCACTCAAATAAATCCTAAATCAAATCTCTCAACTTGCTCACAAGTTCTCCCTCTCAATATGCTCAGTACAACCTAAAATCTCTGATTCAAAACCCTAGAAAATCGTGTTTCAATATATATCAAAATACAAACCCAAAGCGAACAGGAAACCAAAACTCAGGTCCAGCCCGACTCGCGGTCGACCGCAAAGACACGTGCGGTCGACCGGATCCAACGACAGAAAGCAAAAATCATTACAGGGTTTGGCCGGTCGACCACACTTGACACTGTAGTCGACCGCCAAAAGTCCAAAGACCTCCCCAGGTCTCGTGCACGTTTCCGGTCAACCGCGTCTGCCATTACGGTCGACTGATGAGAGATCAAAATGTTTTTCTGCCATTTTCCTGTATTCGCTTCAATTCTCCACCTCGGTGAAGTTTTTCCAAAACTGAGCCGACACCAAACAAAGAACACCAATGCATTGTCTCTCCAAACTCGGCTGCACTAATGTGGTTACCTACGTACCCTCCCTCCCAAGGGATCAAGCCACCCGTAGTTCATTCAAATAGCCGTCAATAGCCTCAACAATCACGAATGTACAACAAGTTTCAACAATGATCAAACTTGTTGCTGGGAAACACCTTAGTGAGCATATCCGTCGGATTATTCTTCGTGTGGACCTTCACAATCTCCATATCGCCATCTTCAAGAACATCTCGAACGAAGTGATAATGAACATTAATGTGCTTCGTCCTCGCATGAAAAACCAGATTCTTTGTCAAATAGATAGCACTCATGCTATCATAATGAATAGTGATGGACCGCCGTGATATACCAAGTTCCTTCAAAAGCCCCCAAAACCAAATAGCCTCCTTCATAGCCTCCGTAAATCGCCATATACTCTACCTCCGTCGTCGACAAAGCCACCATAGACTGTAAGGTGTATTTCCAACATACCAGCGCACGGGTCAAAGTGAACACATACTCTATAGTAGATCGGTGCTTATCCAAGTTTCCGGCATAATCCGAATTAACATAGCCAATGCATAACTGCTCACCTCTAGTGTCTCACTCAAAAACTAAACCAAAATTGAGCGTATCTCGAATGTACCTCAAAATCCATCTCATGGCGTCCCAATGACTCACTCCTGGATCGTGCATGTATATAGAAACCATGCTCACTACCTGTGATAAATCCGGTCTCGTACATACCATCACGTACATCAAGCTCCCTACCGAACTCGCATATAGAGTCTTTGACATCAACTCTCTATCGTCAACTGTCTTCGGTGAAAGATCAGGTGAAAGCTTCAAATGGGCTCCCAAATGTACACTGACTGGCTTCGTATCCATGCTAATATTAAACTGCTGTAGAACCTTCTTCAAATAAGCTACTTGTGTCAAACAAATTATGCCATTCTCTTTTCGATCTCCATCCCTAAAATGCGCATAGTCTCACCCAAATCTTTTATCTCAAACTCCTTTGAAAGTTGTGTCTTTAACTCATCTATAACAGACCTGGAATTAGAGGTAACCAACATATCATTGTTTGGTGGAAAATTTGTAGTAAAAAGAAAAATTAAAAGAAATATATTTGATTTGTATTCTCTCAATCTTAATTATAATTTGGATTTCTGATTACAAAAGAGATGATAATTGATCTGAATTCTCCCCTTTGTTTAATTATGGGTTCTTCACAGTGGTAATGGAGTGTCTCCCTCGAATGTTCGCGTCGAGTTTGCTCTCCGTTGATGATCTGAACGTCTTGATTCACTGGTATGATATCTTCTCCTCACGATTTGATACTATGAAGAACTTACGTGGCAAGTTTGAAACTCTGAACGAGTTGATAACTCAGAGCGAGTTTAAACTCTTGAAAAAGAGTTGATTTAAACTAAAAATCGGTTAATAGCCAAGTGAATTTGTTGTTGCTCAAGGATGCCTCATGATCTCCTTGTTGCCAAGTATTTCTCTCCAACCGATCTCCTCAAAAGCCAGCCTCTGATCTCTTCTTTGCTGTTGAAAAGAGGATCGATCCGAGAGCTAAAAACCGAGCCCGAACTCAGTTGAGTTTTCTCCTATTTATAGGAGATTAAGGGGTGTAACCAACCCCTAAATCCACTCCAACGTGGGTGAGAATCCCTCAAAACGTGGGGGAAACGGTTCTGAAATCGTTCGACTCATGTTTGAATGAGTCAAATGTCCAAGTTGGCATTCAGGACCCTAACTCTGCGTTTTAGACTGGAGACGCAGAGTTGGGTACCCGCTGGATGTTGAAAAAAACGAGGGCCGCCCGTGTTTTGTTTGCTGAGGGTTG